TATGGATCCACCTGTTATTGATCCACTTGATCCACTTGTTATGGATCGGCTTGTTATAGATCCATCTGTTATAGATCCACTTGTTATGGATCCACTTGTTGTGGATCAGCTTGTTATAGATCCATCTGTTATAGATCCACTTGTTGTGGATCCACCTGTCAGGGATCCACCTGTTTCTGTGCAGTTGCGTCGCAATTTTAGTATCGATACTTTTTTGAGTATCAATACTAAAATTGCGACGCTGACCTGCCGTCGCTGCCCCCCTTCTCTCAGATTTATTTATGTTTTTTTTTTACGGTCATTAACAAGACGTTAGCCTTGAACTGCTAGCTTCGGCTAATGGCTAATAATAACGTGCTACCATTAATCAAGTACATATCCAACTCCGCCCACATCCAAGTCACCAATAGGGAGATCCCAGGCAAGATAATGGTAATGCCTCATGGCAATATAGACATTAATCTAAAAATAGTGAAATTAGTCTTTCGAACACTTATTTAAACTCTATCCATAATATTATGTTAAAATAGTGTAATGTTAAATAGGTTTGTAGAATAAGTCCAAACAAGTTTAACCAAAAAATATTTATTTCTCACAATTATGAAGGCTGTAGGGTCAGGGTTAGGGTTAAGATTAGGGTTATTAATGCGGGCCACCAGTCACAATAGCATCAGTAACAGGTCAGTTTGAAATGAAAGACACTAATCTGTCAAAATTCAGTTAAAATTTGGGGTCTTTGTTTTTATCCTTGTGGTATCGAAAATGGTAGCGAGTATCGAGTATTTTCCTGAGTATCGGTATCGAGTTGAAAATTTTAGTATCGTGACAACCCTACCCCAAACACACCTGGATCGAACCGTAAAACCCGTACCGTTCTCTCTTTTGACAGTACCTGGGAAGGTGGTTTGAGATCGAGAAGCTCCCGGCTTCCTTCGCCACGGGAAGCTGCATCCAGGCAAACTACTCGCTGAGGAAAGACGGAACCATCCGGGTCCTGAACTCCCAGGTTTTGTGAGTGTTTTGGGCCTCTGCCTCTGAGATCTGTTGGATCTACCTGTAGTGGATCCATAACAAGTGGATCTACCTGTGTTAGATCCACTTGTTATGGATCCACCTGTTATTAATATACCTATTATGGATCCACCTGTTGTGGATCTACCTGTTGTGGATCCACCTCCTTAAATAAGTTCAGGTGGATATAATGATCCCCCCTCCTGTTATGGATCCACCTGTTGTGGATCCACCTGTTATAGATCCACCTGAAGTGGATCTATAACAGGTGGATCCACTTGTTATGGATCTACCTGTGTTAGATCCACTTGTTGTGGATCCACCTGTTATGGATCCACCTCCTTAAATAAGTTCAGGTGGATATAAGGATCCCCCC